GTTGGATCTTGTCGTTCATTCGTGTTTCAGTGGAGAAGTGAGAGCCTAGAGCTTTCTCCTTCACCAGCATACTGATGTCACTCTCCATCTGTTATCTAGTTTTGTCTTTGAGAGAGAGAAACGGAGAGGGAGGGAGTTGAAACACGGATTGGCTGACTCCTGTGTGCGCCCCAAGTGCGGATCAAACCCGCTACCTGGGCACGTGCTCTGACCAGGGATTGACCCAGCACCTTCCAGCGCACGGGACACCAACCACCTGAGCCAGGGCTCCATCGTTTCAGTTTTCAATGGTGTCTTTTGATATACAAAAATCATTTAAATATGTTTAAATTTATTAACCTCTACATTTTAGGTTTTTGTGTTTAAAGAAATATTTCCTGCCTTTGGCAATAAAAATGTTTTTCTCTATATTCTTCTCTGCAACATTTGATGCTTTTCTTTTCCCCATCAGTATGACTCTGTGTATTTAATGAGGAAGGGATCCAATTTCTTTCCTTCTTTTTAATTAACGAAGGCTGTCCACTTGCCGGGCTGCGTTCATTTCCCTGGTCATCTCCTGCTGTAACAGAGCGGCCCTGCCCCATGTGTGTTCTGGGTATTGACTGACCCACGACCTGCCCATCTCTGCGCCACGACCACGCTGTTTAAATTACAACAGCTCCTTCGCCTTTAAAATCATCTTGGTTATATTCAACCCCTTACTCAACTGTTGAAATGTAAGAGAGCACTCACCAAATTCCATGAAAATAATTTGAGATTGTTTGAAATCAAACTTTCATTGAAGTAAATGCACTATTATGGACATAAATTATTTCTCTGTGATACTGTCTTCCTACTAACAACATAATGTAGTCCATATTACTTGTCTTTAATGTCATTAAATTTTTATAACTCTTCCCAGAGAGGGCATTAAAGACACTTTTGTAAAATAGAATACGGTGAACTCTGTGTAACCACTATGTAGCTCCAGCAGCAGACTTCTGCCCCGTAGCCCAGGGCCTTCCCACTGGACAGCAAACCTCCCCCCTGCTCATGCTGCTCCCTTCTGGGCCCATGACCTACCTAGTTCAGCTGCATCTATAAGCCACTGACGCCCACCAGTGTTTTACACACCTCAAACATCTCTTGAAGCTCTTCATTTACAGTTTCCCTTTCTATCACTTTTGTTGTTTACATTTAATTTATTAAAAATAAATAAATAAATAAGACATTTGTATTGCAGAATTTCTACCATTGTTAATTTTGATGATGGAATTCCCATGATGTAGTTTAAAATGCTGGGACACAGGCTTAATTAGACTCAGCTTTATTTTACTTGATGAATTCATTCATGCTTCCATTGGGTCAGTGAGTGAGTCTTGATGAGTGATGGTATTTCCCCATCTGGTGGTCTGCTTTTCTCTTTCTGTGGTGTTAGTAGCAATTTGTGCTAAAATCAATTCATTCCTGAGGGGATGCTAAATTGTAATAATCTAACTCAAATATCCTCCCGTCATTTATCACATACATTTACATTCCCATAAAAAAAAACTTCTCTCATTAATGAGTTGATAACACAAATGACAATTTTTTGAAAAATATGATAGAATAAATTTTTGCCTTTATCAGTTTTTAAAATAATGTGTTCATTCTCTATCATTCTCTAAATTCCACCAAGTCATTTTAAAAATCACTCTTATAACTCATATATTTAAACGCATTTGTGTGCTAATGACTGCAGTAATGATACTTACTTATGTTCAAAATGCTCCATCTTGGCCCATAAGAATGTGTTCAAGTTAACGCCTTAGCCTTTTACCACCTGATACGTCCCTTGGTTTTGGCATCACCAAACGTTGCAGGTGATTCGTGAACATTTCCTGCCCCAGCTCTGGAAACACCAGTGCTCGAAGTTAACTTCCTCCAGTGCCGATCCGGCCCCGTGTGCAGGCAGACAGCAGGCACCGCGGGGGAGTGTGCACACGCCTCAAGCATGCACACGCATCGCCATCTCACATCCCTCGCGTCCCTGTCACCCAGCACAGTGTGTGCACGCGTGTGCTTCTCCTACACCCAGACCACCGTTACTAACGGGAGTCCCGGTTTTTGAGCACATGGGATAAAATTATTAGAATGTAAATATCTTGCCTCATATTAAAAGTTACTTTTATCAAAAATTATTAGCAAAAAATATAATTTCTATTCAAGTACAAGAAAAAATAATACTGAATATTATGGACCAGAATCTAAGTTAGGCGATGTTAATATACACAATAAAATTCTATTTACAAGTGAAAAATAATTTTATTAATAGTGTATAAATAAAATGGCACAGGACCACAGAGAGAAGGAATAATTGGTTTGGCATAAGAAACCTGAGGCCAGACTCAAAGAGGAGAATCATCTGGGGGATGGGAAGAGGAGACAGATGTGGGGACGGGAAGAGGGAAGAGGAGACGGATGTGGGGACGGGAAGAGGAGAGGGATGTGGGGACGGGAAGAGGAGAGGGATGTGGGGACGGGAAGAGGAGAGGGATGTGGGGACGGGAAGAGGGAAGAGGAGATGGATGTGGGGACGGGAAGAGGGAAGAGGAGACGGATGTGGGGACGGGAAGAGGAGACGGATGTGGGGACAGGGAGAGGAGACGGATGTGGGACAGGGAGAGGAGACGCATGTGGGGACAGGGAGAGGAGACGCATGTGGGGACAGGGAGAGGAGACGGATTGGGGACAGGGAGAGGAGACGGATGTGGGACAGGGAGGAGACGGGTGTGCAGAAGGAGCTGCTGCGTGTGCAGAATGTCTTCTGCGGAAGAGGCTGGGACGGGGCTGAGAAGATGGTTATGATGAATCGTGAGGGAGACCGAGTATCGTTCTGTTATACGGCAGAGGTTTCTAGATTTCTGAATTGTGTAAACTGGCAGAAGTTTGAAGGAGCATAGTTTAGGGTTGTCACTTTCGCCAAGTAACGGTATTTAAAAGACAAACCTCAAAACCTAAGATGAACTATTTACTATCATTTTATTAAGAAAAATCATTTCAATACAAAAAAGAATATGAACATTATGTCCACATAGTCTTAAAAACAGGATATATATTTTATATAGTAAAATGAGGTTGTATTTTCGGATGTAGAAAAGTTGTAAAATAAAACTGCATTTTGCCCAGTAAACACAAAGTGAACTTTCAATATATACCTTGTACCAATGTTCCCTTTTTAGCACAGTCGCCTTTTAAAAATTCAAGGGGCATATTCTTAATGCGCGTTCAAGTCCACTCAGAACAGGAGGTAAGTGCAGAGCAGCCCGAGGAGTCCTCCTGCCTCCCAGCCGCTTCCCCTACCTGCTCCCAAGGGCTGGGCCAAGACGAGCAACAGGGGTGTCCGCCGGCGCCGCCCGAAAGGGCTACAGATGGGGTGTTTAGTTGCCAACATGGAGCAGGTAGAAAGTCACCTGCAGCAAGTGTCACAAATGGTCCCTCAGGAACCGACAATGTGGGCCTTTGGGTGGAAACAGAGCCTCCTTCGCCGTGGCTGCCGGGAACCAGGCCGCCTGTGCCCGGCCTCGGCGCCGGCGCGGGCCCTGCGACCAGCCTGCCGGCCAGGACTGTCCTGCGCTCACTCTAGTAACTCCCGGTAACCTGAGCGTCCACGGTAAGTCTGTCACGTCGTTTTAGGGGAAAAGATACACATAAACATAAAAAAACAAAAGATCTTCAGAGAGTACGGAAATATCCTACATTCACATTTTCAATAACAGTTACCAAGTGTCTGTCCGACTAGAAGGAACCTGCCGCAGGGTCCGCGGGCTGCCCTCTCCGAAGGCACCGTCCAGGAGCCGGGCTCACCTCCTCTGACGCTCCGCCCGGAGGGACTTTTACTACTGCCCATTCAGAGTCCACCCCCCTGTTCAAAACTGCAGTCTAGCCGCTTCTGTCACCCCGTCACTGGCGCAGCGCTCACCCTTCTACACAGCGGCCACCAGCACTTAGTATTCTGTCTGAGTGACACGTACACTGAATGCTCGCTCGTCGTCTCTCCTGAGTGTGAGCTCCTTGGGCAGGGGTCTCTGTCTGTTAGTTACTGCACCCGAGTACCTAAGGCAGCACTTGCCTACAGCAGGAACTCGGAATGTCTAATGGAGAGTGAGCACCGTGCTGTGAGATCCCCAGAGCCCCGAGGGAGGAGCTGTCACTGGCTGCATCTTACGGAACGGAGCTAAAGGACAGAATGGCAGCGTAGTCTCCGAAGGTCCTAGCGCTGAGAAAGGGGTGGAACAGGACCTAAACTCGTCCAGTGACTAGATGTCTGTCCGCTAACAGAGACACTGCAGAGCGCGGAGGCCAGGGCACCACGGGGAGAGGAGACCCTCCCACAGCAAACACGCGCATGAGACGCCCACACCCACCGTGGTGCCCAGGCCCTCCTCACTCACAGAGCAGCTGGGCATCGAGTGCCCCTCGCTGAATTTCAGGAATATTGGTAAAAGAACACTTTTTAAAAATAAACGAGGCTCCAGATAACATTTTTTCAAAGCTACTCCCCTATTACAAGTGCATAAATTAAATCTCTGCAAGAGGTCACTGACCTTGTTGCTTCTCACTCCATTTAAGTGGTATTGAATAAAAGACAACAGCTTCATCACTTCCCACTCAAGTATTTCTTTACATTTTCTCAGTTAAGGATTCTCATATAACAAGGTTGTGAATCAGAAGCCTGGCGCTCGGAGGAAACACCCCCAGTGCGGGATGCGCAGGGGCCCCGGGCATCAGAGCACAGGGCCAGAGCGTCCCATCCCACACTCTCCAAGCTCTTCACTCTGTGGGGAGCCGAGCAATGACGAGGACTGTACACACGTTATTTTTTTTAAAATGAACAAGGAGAAAGCATTATTGCAATTTGTGGAAACAATGTCTTTATATTCTTTTGGCAATATATATTCCTCTAGAATTATAAATTATGTCACAAGCAATAGAAACATTACAGGAAACTAAAATAATTAGAATATAGAGAGAAATCATACCTTCTATCAATAGCTCTTGTCCATGACTGCCAAGAAGTGTACGAGATAGGAATGGGGCAAAGTCTACAAAAATTTCACGAAGAAGAGGAGCAACTTTTTCTAAAGCTCTTTCAAGTTTTGCAGTGATGCTGTTGAAATTAAGACATAAAGACTAGTAAATATAATTCAAAATAAAAAGTGAAATAAACTTTACTTCTAAATTAAAATATCTGAAATGGTAAAATTCCAAAGCGAACCCACTGAATAGCAGCACTACGTGTAGAAGGGACATGGTACAATTTCACACCATCATAAATCGGATGAGTCTATGGCGAAAGGAGCTGGGGTTTGGTAACCTGCCAGGACCACAGATGTGACCCACTGTTCTAGGAGCTTCAGGACCCCTCAGAGAAAACAGTTTTTGAACACCAACTACACTGTGCCAATTACAAAGAATTCACTCTTGATCTCACAAAGAAGGGGACATGGGAATTTGGTGTAATATAACTGAATTGCTTTAATAAAGTAGGCATGTTCCATTTCATAAGCCCACTTGGTTTTATTTACCAGTCCCTGTATTATTATTTATATTGTTGACTATTGAGTTTTAAGTTGTATGCCCATACATAAGCACTGTCGGACATTCTTAAAAGCACTCTGAGTAGTATATGTAAAGGAAAAAAAATAGGTAAAGAAAGTAATCCTGCTCAGGAAAATATAAACACTGTTTTGGAGTAAGGCTGCTGGGAGTGGAATGCTGCTTCTACCATATGCTGTCTGAACAATGAGGATGATGATCATAGTCACTACTCAGTGAGAGTTAAGTGAGTCAAGGCATGTAAAATCCATAGAAAAGTACCTGGACACAGTGAGAGATCAATAGTACTAGCTCTTATAACTGGAATAAAACACACCTATATTTACTCTTACAAAATATGACTCTAATATATTTTTAAAATTCAGTTTAATAATATGATATTAGATGACCACTCCCTTCTCTCACACAGAAAACATGTACAGTAAGGAATTAAACAATACTTCAAAATAATAAAAGTTCTGCCACAACACTTGGTAACATTTTTGTTACACATGAGGAAAACATAATGACAAAAATGTAATTAATCATAGAATAATTTGCAACATATTACAAATATTAAAAACTAAACTACTGCATCTTTTTTAAAGCAATTAAATAGGGATTAGAAAATAATCTAGGATACCTTCTTTCCTCTTTTGAAAACAGAATGATCCGAGTCCTTTGTGTACATACAGCCCTACCAATAACACTTGTAGTCAATGTTATTTTCTCTGAGTTGATGGCCTTAGAGAAAGGAGAACTCAGAGAGGAAACTCAGATGCAAGTACCTGCACAATCACTTAGAGACAGTATTCTGGAGGACCAGCTGTGGGCAGGAAGAAAGAGTTTGGGCAGGCCTTCGCAGACTCGCTGAAGATAAAGAGTTTTCTATATTCTCCCCTGCTGTTATGCCCTAAGCAAGCCCTGCTTTAAGATAATGATTCTCAGACTTCAGCGTAGATCAGAATACCTGCAAGGCTTGTTTGAACACAGACTCCTAGAACCCCACCCTAGGGCTCCTGATTCAGCAGGTCTGGGGGTACTGTGAGCATTTGCGCTTGTAACAAATTCTAAGGTGGTCTAACACTGCTGAATCTAGGAAACACACTTCCAGAATAACTGTTTCAATGCAAAGATTTAATCCCAGTACACTGTGACAAAAGAGTTAGCAATAAAAAGGCTACCCAAAGTCACAGAATAATTTTAAGTTATTTCTGACTTTTAGTGAATGTAGATATAAGTGCTGTTTTGGATCCACTATTTCATTCATTCCCTCTACTTCTTCACGGCCATTTCCTATGATTCTCCCCGCTAAAGTGATCCCCTCTACCAAGAAAACGTAAGTAAGAATGGTAAGCACAAACCTCTGAAAAGGAGAAAAATCTAGATATAATTATTCTTGTTTGTTTCTGCAGTTGAATTCTGAGTGAATCATTTCTTTTTATTTAAGATTAATTAGTGAGAGTAAAATTATGTTAGAAAAATTCGAGATGTATAATGGTTCACATCATAGTTATAGTACTGGATTGTAGCATACTGTTATTTAATTAAATCCAGGAACATTTTTTTCCCTAGTTTAAAACTTTTTCCATATTTTACAGGTTTATATATGATTTAGAGACTTCAAAATTTCAAAAACACTGTTCTTGGAGATTAGTTAAATACAAAATGGAAACTAATTAAAGCAACTAAGTACATGTTTGCATGTAAATAGTATGTATCAATTACCTTGACTTAAGTTATGGATAAAAACAGACATCTCTCAGAGAGTGAATATCTATAATAAGATTTTTCACCACTATTCCGTTATAAAATTTAATAGAATATTAAATGATGTTTACACATATCACCCTGCAACCATAATTTTAATTTTCTAATAGGAGACCAAAAATGTAGCATTTTACCCACCAGAAGGCCAAGGCTTTTAAGTACAAAAAATCATTATCAAATATTACAACCAGATTTCTCTCTCAAACAATAACAGAATCTATGTGGAGAAGTCTCATCACCTTTTCGCATGAAGAAAACAGTTCTTTTTGTTGTTGTCAATATTGATAGATTACTCACAGCGTATTTTAAAGGGAAGTAAACAATGTATGTGATCTTCATCTTCACATAATTTAAATTCTCAAAGGAAATGGTATGAACACAAATCTTAGCTTTATACCCACCTCCAGCACCTACCAAATAATCCCCAATTTGTTTTAAAAAGAAAGTGTGCCTATACTTTTATTTCAATTCTCATCTGAGCAAAACAATAAAAACTCCCGTTTCTCAATTGCAAGGCATATATGAAAAATTTATCTAATAACATGTAAAAAAATCTTTTTAAAAAATGAACAAGGGAATACTCCTTGGCCTTGTGTACTATACAAATAAATGAGTTATTAATTTCATTTTCAGTATAATTTTTACTATAAAAATATACCAGAAAAAAAAAGTTCTGTGAAAAATTATTTTGTAAGAAAAATTAGCACAGTTTAGGTAAAAGACTAAGTAATAACTTTTCAGTTTTATTTGAAAGTTTATTCTCATTTCTTCAAGAAAGAAAACATTCAGGCTCCGGCATTTCCCACCCAGAAATACACAAGGGCGCTAGAAGGATACCCGCGCTCGTGAGTGAGGTGTAACCTTAGCCCTGCATAATTCTGCCTGGGTTCTGCAGCCCCGCTGTGGGCCTGGACCAGGGGCCACGCGTCCCCGCCACCAGGCTCTCTCCCACCCCACACCCCTCATCCCTCAGCCACGTACTGAGGCTGTGACTTTGTTTGACTTTGGCTACTTTTCTTGATAGTAAAAGCAAATTTGTTTAAGAAAGACAATTACTGATTTCCACAAAGAAAATCCCTGTTACAAGATGAGAAATTTATCAAGGATTCTAACAAAATTACCAACTACAGGAAAACAAAACATTCAAAGAAAATAATGTTTTAAATGAAATTCTAAAGATCCAATGCCTGGATTAAAACAATATGACTTAAAACATAACAGTTTATTATTCTGTTTTTTTTTTTAAAAAAAAAAACATTCTTTATTGTTTTTTTTTTCCTGTATTAAGGAAATCTCATTTACATAAATTTATAGATTTTTAAGAAATTTATTTGACTAAAGATATAATTAACTCGTGGGAGAAAAAAATGTTTTTAAAACTCATGGCTGCAATGATTATCAAATGTTACCAAGTGTAATGACCTGGAGACATACAAGGCCAAGGTGATTATAAATACACGAATCGACAGAAAAAGGTAAGACAGGTGTCGCCTGTTTTCTAAAGTCTGCTTTCACATCAGTGTCGATTATTCTCAAATGTCATATGTTCTATAATTCTAGAAAGACACAATGATTCTAGTTTTACTTAGGACACTGCTCACACTGTGAGCTGCACTTTAATGAAGAGTCTTGTGTTTGCACCACGTCATGATGTCACAATTTCTATGTGCTTCTGATTTTAACTTTCTGTATTCGCCTAGGTCCCTAGCATAATGTCAAAATATAATAGACAGTTAAAAATTTAATTTTGTATGTTAAAGATCTTAAATTTTGTCATTCATTTCTTATATCATGTAAAATAATAGGTGTACATAAAAATAAAATCTGGAATGAAAATCAGTAATCATGTACCCTTAAGCAATGCACCTAAGAGATATGGCTCAGATATAAAGGGAAGTATTCCATTAGTGATTTCCACAGTTTTATTAATCAAATGCTCCTACATAAATTGGGAAAGTCAGGCAGAGATCAGTGGACTGATCTAAGTAAGATCAATGCAAAGGAAAGATTCGGAAGTATTAATGACAGCAAAACCATACACTGTAAAGTTAAATTCTCAATCACTTACTATGACTAGTAATGGACACTGACTTTAAATATTCTGTTCATATTTCACCGAACTTCTGGTATAAAGCGTAAACATACCAGACAGCTGATGAGTCGAGTGCACCCTACAGATCAGATCTGAGGCTAGAACTTACTGATAAACAGTTGCCTACACTGTAACTTTTTAGCAGCCACTAAGCAAAACATGAAACTGAAAAAATTCTTGCTTATTTTATTTCCCCAAGATCCTTTAAAACAAAAACTGAGATTTTCTCCTTATTCTTTCTTAACAGAATCATATACATTTTCAAGTGAATGATATACTTGTTAAGAAAGTAGATAAAATTGCAAAAGACTAAGAAATTAAGCCTAACTGGAATTCCTTTGTGAGTTTGCTCTTTACATGTAAACTACATTTGAAATACCATTTCTCAGGTCAAGAACTGTGATGCGGGGCTGTCCTGAGATAATCATGAAAGTTTCTCGGGAGCACATTTTCTGAAAACTGCTAACTGCATGTTTTGTAGGGAGAAAGGAAGGAAAGAAACTGATATGGAACAACTCTCTATTTTCTAGACAAACAGTCAAATAAAATGACATTAACATTACCTATAATAAAATAAAAAATGTAAGGTGCAGAATGTATGTCAATTTGAGCAAAGAAGAAAAACCAGAGAAGAAGGGAGAACTCACAGACGGGACAACAGCGTCGCGACAGAGGGGGCGGAAGGGACGGGTGGCGGGGGAGGAGGGAAC